TTCTCAAACTCATTAATAATTCATTAAGAAAATACAAAGGAAATTAATGTTTAATGAGTGTTTGGAAATCGGATGAAACACTGCTTAGTATTTGCATCCTTAATTTCTCCTTCAAAAATGATTTTGTTTGAGAAGAAATATCAAACATTCGACACAGTGTTTCATCACCAGATGAAACACCTCGAAGTTCGTCAAAAATACTCCGCTGCGCGTCGTATTTCAACTCTCTTCTCGGTGTTTCATCTGGTGAAGAAACACTGCATCTCATGTTTGATATATTACTTCAAAACTGTGCTGCACGACTTATCGTGAAGGTTAGATACAACCTAATCACCCCGATGCCACGAGAACTTCATTGGCTTCCGGTTGACCAACTTATATTGTTTTTAAAATCCTGCTTTTTATCTATAAAGCTTTTCATCACTTAACACCTTTTTATATACAGGACTTTAATACTATTTACAAGGGAGCCGTGGAATTATATCGTTATATCGAGGAATCGTTATATCGACTCCCGATGTAATGATATGGTCGTAAAAGTACCCAGAATATCGTTGTATCGGGGTAAACCTAACATGTACTTTTTTACTGCATACATTATTCAATTAGTACAGGTAATCCACATGATTTCGAGTGCAATTTGGAATAAATACACACGAGTAATTTTTTTCAAAGACCACAAATTGCACTCGCCCGTAATTTTGTTAGTCTTTGAAAAAATTTACTCGTGCTTATTTATTCCAAATTGCACGAGAAAAATCATGTGATTACATATACCTTATTCGATGGTTTAGCATCGGGGCTCGGAAATATACGAGCAATGAGCAAAATGTCCGCTCGTATTATTTGCTAAACCATCGAATAAGAGGTCTATTATTCAACTACAAAATAAAAATTATCTGGCAATTGGCTTCTATTTTTTGGTAAGAGTATTCAGAGACATCCTGATTCTGTCTGTGAGAATGACGTTAACAATTAGCAAAATGTTCGCGCGTATTATATGCCAAACCATTGAATGGGAGGTTAATTATTTTACTGCAAAAGAAAAATGGTATTTTGGCGTCTATTTTCTAATGAGAGTATCCAAAACATCCTGATTCTGTCAGCCACAGTTGCTCCTTTTGCATCCGCCGGTATTCGCCCTGTTGTAAACCGGTTAAACCGGGACACTACGGTGTATTACGGCCTCGTACTTTGCTTGTTCTCTTGACCTTATATGGTAAAATGACATAATAGTGGAATAATAATTATTAATAATGTTCATGAAAAAATTGCGAGATAGCTTTAAAATCACTTTGATAGGGAGTCAACACGCGTAAACTACGTGCAAAAATAAGGGCCTGTTTACATGGAGTGGGGGACCCCGGTCTAGTGGGGTTAGCCTGCGTAGCTGGCGGTATTGTGTGGGTGCGAGATTAAAACTTTGGCGGCGGAGCCGTGTTCCAAAAAAAGGGAGTAGGGACGAGACGGTATTTCTCGCGGCTTCGCCGCTCGTGACGGCTCCGCCGTCAAATCTCACTCGACTACTACACAATACCGCCAGCTACGCAGGCTAAGTGGGGTTGGTTTCTTTTGTTTTCACGCTCTGGGGGACACAAAACAAAAGAAACCTAACCCACTAGACCGGGGTTCCCCACTCCATGTAAACAGGCCCTAAATTATTCAAATGCTGCAAATATCATCACACGTACAGTCAAAACAACATTTCGCTCGATGTTTTTAAAGTTTGCAAGCTGCAGAAACGGGCTGAACAGTTTATGGAATTGTTCAATGTGTTTGAACTAAAGATTCTCGGTTATTACCTCGAGTTTTCCGCTCCTCCAGAGAATTTCTTCTTCCTCCTCTGATACTTGCCGAGCTTTGTTTGGGTGCTTACCACGGCCAGCCAAGCGAAGCTGTTTCGCTTTGTCCTCCAACACCTCTTTGGACGAACTAAATTCTCGGTCACGTACGATGGACAGGGTGCAGCCTTTGTTCCTTAAGTGTCTATCAAGCGATGCCATCATTACTTTAAGGCTTCCTGGTTCATTATCCACACCTTTTTTGTTCGTCTTCGGCGTAGAAATGCTCGAGCAAAGTGTTAAACCATGGATAATATCCATGGTTAAACTCAGCCGGCTCATAATTTTCTATGTCATCAGTAATTTCCTTACCTACGCACCAATTCTTCCAAACAGAGAGCCAGAAACCAGTGCTTTTCGCAGTGTTTTCGTTTTTAGGGCAGTTTTTCAGCTCCTCTACAGTTGTTTCGGTCGCAAAGCAAATGTGCTGCATATGCCAACCATTGCGGTTTTTGCTCGAAACTGGTCCGGAGCGGATCTAAATTTTGCGCCATTTAGATGGCGCATTTGATTGGCTGTCAGTGAGTTCCTTTGTTTATTAGCCAATCAGACTGTGACGTTCGTTACTCTTTTCTGCACTAAATAACCTTTTTCTGTACTCAATTACCTTTGTTCTGCACCGTGTTACCTAAAAACTGCATTTCTCTTAGCCAATCACAATCGAGAAATTTTTTCATGTATATTATTAAATTTGTAAATTAAATGAGAATTAAATGATTCGCAAATGCAACATTTCAAGTTCGCAGCAATGTCCTTAAACAGTTTGCAAAGTTTATTATACACTGTAAATTCTGTGGTGTGTATCGTAAAAGTGCAATAAAACTGAAATTAAACATTTGAAGTTGCGACTGTTGTAATCTTTACTTATCGAGTTCGCGTGTTCATTGTTTTTTAATGCATTTTTGCGCATGACACACTTGTAACAGTCCTTCTTGAGTCGTTTTTGTTTCAATGTTTCTATTATCAGGGTTATGTACAGCCCAAGTGGACCAAGTGAGTTGACAGAAACGTTAGAGATTACTCGGTTACTGTAATGTTATTGTGTTAATTTCATTGTTTTGCTAAATTTGTGACTGTGTACTGATAATATCGTTATATCGGGAAAGATTTTACGTTCGGTCCGCTAAATTCTCATCGTTATATCGGGAATATCGTTATATCGAAGTTCTGTCCCATACATTATATTGTAACTTTTGCCGGGACATAGAATATTCATCGTTATAACGGGAACATCGTTATATCAAATTTACTTATTACTCCTTCTCCAATTTTGAAGACATACAGCTATTTCGAGAAAGGTTGTCGGGAAAAGTGCACGCGACAATCCTGAAAGGCATTGTGGGTGGTTTTAAGTTCTCTTTTTTTCAAAGAAATTTGAACGAATTGGCACGAAAGGCCATGGAAATGTGTTTGCGAGTGCTAAAGGAAAGCAACAAAAGTAGGTTCGACAGCTACAATCGTCAGGAACATTGTATTGATCATATCCCATATTTCCTTTCGGGATTGTCGCGTGCACACTTTTTCCGACAACCTTTCTCGAAATAGCTGTATACATGTGATTATGTGCGTTCTCAGTCTGTGCTCGCAAACTATGGAACTTTTTGCCTGTCAAAATAAACAAGTCTGCTTCGGTCGATATTTAAAAAAATAAGTTGAAGGGTGTCTTTTTAACCGTACATTTAGTTTATATCTACTTGATTTTAGCATTTTTATGCGTACTTTTTTATATCGCCCTCGTTTCTATAATTAATGTTTTTGCACTTGTAGATTTATACCGGTCATGCACTTGAAATTTTAGCATTTTTGTGCTTACTCATTATACTGTTAAGTGCCTTA